ATGCACTTTCATACGAAATGAAGGTCCCTCTAATAAGAAAAATAGTATATACATTAAGTGATTCTGATGAAGCCTGCGTTTATATCCAGGGCGCTTTATTGTTTGGAAAACTTGATGGTGTAGACAGTTCTTTGCTCCAGATTCGATGGACTTAAACCAGAAAGGGATTCCACAATCAGCCATCTGACCTACATTTACCAGACTAACCGGCCAGTGTTTTCTAATATAGTTTATTGAGACTCAAGCCTCCTAATGCAATTTTCGCGCTGGGTCTTGAACTGAGGCTGTGTGTAAGTGGCATACTCTTCACTTATAGCACCTATTGTAATCATGTTTGAGATCTTTTACTGGCCTGAACACTCCAAATAAGCAGATTCACGTTAATTCTTAACCCAGGACTCGTGTATCAGCAAACTGTCCAAAAACCAAGATGGATGTGTCTTTTAGCGACAAGGTATATTCTAAGCATTTCGGTTTTTAATTAGGTTTCCAAGAATATAATTAAATGAAAACTGTACTCATTCTATTTCGTTTAAGATGATAAAGGACTTATAGGTGAATTTTCCCACTATGATATAAATATACCTTACTTTTATATTTAATTGCAAATAGTTTTGCGTTATTACAGGCCTTCTCATCCAGAATGGACCGCAGTTTCGACCTCGTCCCACAGCGGGACTCGAACCTGAGTAGCTTGCGCATATTCTCGACCCGTTGACCACTACTTCGCATTTTCACAAATGGTCTTGGGTCATGGAGTAGAAATTAATTTCAAGGAATGCCAGGACCTTTTCATATCACTTTTTATGGTGGGATTGTTAATGAATAAAAGTTGTATTTGTTATAACAATAGATTACATTATATATTTGCGTTGTATAAATAGGCTTTAGAGACTACTATTGTCTCATATATACGAAACATATTCAGCCTATTTAGTTTAAAGTTAAGGAAATTTCCTTTCAATTATAGCTGCTGATTAAGTTGGCCAGAAGATCATATTTATGCAGGAGAGAGTAACGGTGGATCTATACTATAGCTGTAGAGGAGGGTTACATTCAATATAACTGATAGTTTCGAAACCTACTTATAAACGAAAATAAGTTATGTAGTTGATCACTATAGAAAATACAACTTTGCCCTTCGACAATCAAATCACAGAAAGTGGTATGGCCTTCCCTATAATTTACCTCGGTCCTGTGACCCAAGGAGCTCGTGCCAATGTGGTGTAGTGGTTAACGTGTCAATATTATGCGCTGCAATACCCGGATTTGAGTCCCGCTGGGGGTACTGATTGGACCAAGGTAAGGTGAAAACTACAGTCCACCATGGATGAGAGTACCTTTTAGGAAGAAAAGCTATGTTAAATTCAATGGAAATATTAAGTCTTTTGATATTATCGTGTAAAATTCAACTAGCAGTACTTCACTTTAAACGAAATACGAATACAATTCATATTCTAAACCTGTTAACCTGCAAAAATAAGTAATACTCTATTAGTCAAATATGATTCAGCTAAATCATTAAAAGAAGGAATGAATAAAAGATGATAGGCAGATACACAAAAACGAGTAGTCTGCTTTTTTACCCGCTTACATACTTATATACTTCTAAACTTACTAACCAACATGCATATGTACCTACCCCTTTAATTAACAATCCACTTACCTACACTCCAAACTATCTACGGATCCATCAACCTACCTTTCTGCTTAACTTCTTATTAACCTTCTTTTCCTCAATTTTACCTAACCCTCTACTAACTTATCCACATACCAACATGCCTACCAGTCTCAATACCTTCATAACCGCCTCCCTCTCAACCCTCTTACATACTCACCAAATACCTACCTTCCTAACTTCCCCTATTACATACCCATCTATTTTACTAACTTCCCATTCGGCCATCTACTATTTTACTCGCCTAACTATCTTTCATACCATCTACCTCCCTTTAATCTCCCAACCTACATATTATTATATATTCCGCCCTACCAACCTACCTACTTAATTCTCTGACCTCCTTTTTCCCCTTTCTTCCTCCCTTTTTCCACTCAGTAATCCTAATATCAACCTAACCATATGTATTCCTAAATTTTTAGAAATATAATCATTATTCAATTTTTAATTTTAGCTATGGTCAATTAGCATAATAAATAAAAGCATTGCCTTTCCCATTTACCTACCCGAAATCAGAGCAACGCCTAGCTGCAATGTTCCAACAAGTGAGACTACTTTTATATCAGCCTCAGGAAACGTCTCTAAGCACTCTATGTACAATATTCCACCGCTATATGCCAGACCACCAGAGATACAGGCAATAGTAAAAGTCAAAAATGTGATATAAAGGCTGGGCCAGGTGTCTCTTTGATTCGCAATAGCACCGGCTGTCCGTTGCCATGGTGGTCTTCCAGCAGCCAAACGAAACCATAATTCCTCTTCTGGCTCGTCCGTTAGAATCTCCTCCTCCTCCTTTACTCCATGCTCCTCTGCTTTCTCCCACTTCCCATTTATCTGGGCCTTCATGTTCTCGGGCCATACGGTCTGGCGCTCAGGGCTCCCATTTGGCCAACCCATGGCCGGTGCATCGTCGCTATTCCGTTGGTTTGTAAACTGGGTCATCCTAACAGATTCTAAGTTGAGCTGGTTATTTGTATGTTTTTCCTGATCTGGTGATTCAGCACTTGCATCTCTGAATTTAACCATTTTTGTTAATATTTATAGGTTCATGTTACGGTTCCACCTCAGGATTAAAGAAAAACCCAGGATTCAAGCTAGATCAATTGCACAAAACTCACAGTGAACGGCATATAATCTGGAAAGCACTCTTCCGGGGTAGCTATGGGGCCTAGTTGGCTTCTAGAAGGTCAAAGTCCTGAGCAAAAGAAGTATGGCCTCCTCAAATATGACTTAATCGTTTAGCTCCTTTGGTAGTTGCACAAGTTGGCAGAGGAAGAGGTAATAAAGTGCACCAGATAAATGTCATCAAGAACGAAAGGGATATCAGAGCTAGATTCAGAATAATTATACTCCGGGCCTGACCTAATCATTATTCAAAATAGCGGTTAATGATTATCAAAGCCGACTTCATTCAGGCCAGTTCAAGTCCCAAACGCAAGCTTGGAGACTCATGAATTTATGCAAATTTCTTCTAGTCTGCCTCTTATTAAGCACATGTCTGCGTAGCGATTAGTGAAAATTCGAACAGTCAAATGGAAAAGTGAATTACAAATATGGTAGAATGAATTAGGTATACACAGACAAAAGTTGAAGCAATAGGCTATTAAACCGACTAGCTTAATCAGTATATGGTCCTTGCGAAAATTGAATTGGGATCTAGTGAAAGTCTATTGAAAGTTTTCGTATAATCTCGACTATAAATATAAGTTGCTCCCTCTTCTATCAACTGAATTTTTTCTGAACACTAAGATATTGATTGACCATGCAAAAATGCTTAATAGAGTGTAAAAGGTTGACAGGAAAAAGGGAGGTTTCTAAGACAATAGGTTTGAAGAAAGTAGCCTGATCTGTATATTCGAAGGGATTCTACTTCAAAATGCATGCGGTTGCCCTGTAATCCTTATTTTGCTCATACTCTCGGGCACTAAAGTGATATATTTATGAGTATCACTTATATCTAAAGTATCATAGAATTATCAATTAAAAGTAACTTTTAGCTTGATTCCAGGGCATACGAAAGCTTCTTCTTATTAAGAGACGCAAAATATGCTGGAAAAAGATGGAAGTTTAAAATCGTTCAAGTTATATTTGAGGACTTCTCAGACTCTTAAATATAGAAAATAAAAAGCACCGAGGCTGAGCATTAGTAGAACAAGAATTCGTGCTCACGTTCGGACAATAGAGCATAGCATATTTGTGGTAATGATTCCGTCTAAATGTTGCAGTTTTAGTCTTACTAAGGGCCTTGAATGAGGGCTATTAAATCTGGGCCTGAACTCTCCAATTTTTTTGGAAAATCCTGAGAATTTGTTTAGCTGGTGAATTCGCGACTGATAATATGCATTGGTCTGTTCTTAAGTTAAGAAGTGGTGTCAATATGCACTAATTATTGAGCTTACTTTCATTTCGAGTGGAAGTGTTGGGTGAAGAGATTCGATGATCCGTTCCACCAGAAGACGACGGCGGATTCCTCTTGACCAGTTGTCGACTGGCTTCACTGGAAGATTTATGCTGAAGCTGTTTCCGAGGCAATCTCCTTCGATTCCGGTGAAAAGGTGCTAAGCTTTCGTCCGTCATA